GTTATTATTAAGAAAAAAAAATAATGAAAAAATAGTAAAAAAGCAAAATAACACTAAAATTACGAAATATGCAACATAAAATTTCGTATTTAGCTTCTTGGTTATCTGAAACAAATTTATAGCTCACACATACATCTCAAGGACCACTCAAAAAAAAAAAAAAATATGCAAATGCTAGAAGTTATGAGCCCTGTATATTAATATAGGTAAAGAAAAATGTTAAATTATTTCATATTTGATAAGTAGTATCAAAATATCTAAGTAGATACTTATTTTAATTAGTTTAATTAGTAATTGGTGCTTATAATTTGTGTTGGTTACTGGTTACGTAATTTTAATTTATGGAAGTATTAAGAACAGTTGTGTAAGTAACAATCGTAAAAATAGTTCAATAGGTGTTGTCCTAAGAAACTATTGGTATATCAAAGCGCATTGTAGCTTCCTTCTATCCCCCCCCCCTGACCAAAACTTGAAAATTGAGTGACGCGAGTTGCGAGGACACTAGGGAGAGCATTTGTAACTTGAAACAACTTTGTGAATAAAATAGCCTATGTTAAAAACAAAAGAAATGCTAATTGACCTATATCTACCCCAATGAAAGTATGGAACAGCGTACAATATTGTCAATTATATATTTATAAATTATAAGTTATTTTATAATAACTAAAAAAGTTTTCAGGAAATCGTCTTAAGTCCTCATATAATAATTATATTGAATTGGCCCTTTTCTGCCTTTTTTTTTCCCGTAGGGATGTACCGAAAACTTCCTGTGTACAGATTTTTCTCCTTCTTCTTCCAATGCCTCATTTATGGCAATTATTAGAGCTGGTGTAATTTTTGGCATAATGATAATAAATTGATACCTAATTAGTAACTACGAACCTACTAGCTCCTACGAACTGACTAGTGCAAATTATCGATCGATGAGTGTCTGTCTATTATTAATTTGTGCTATTCGATTGCGATTAATATATTTATATTATTGATACAATAATTATGGGATTTACCATTTTTTTTAAAATATTGTATAGATATATGAGGCAGAATACTCTCGTCGGATACGTCTTGTATAGCCCCGGCCTATGATTCAACTATTCTGCGTATTGTGTTAATATTTTAGTTGAGTACCTTATTCTACCAGAATTCAAATTTATTTTTTTCGTGACGCTTGTTTACATTAGTCTTTTAATTTGGGTATTTTCTATAAAAAACGAAGATATTATAGTACCTATCCAGTAACTATAAAGTCTATGATAAATATAACTTAATACTAAAATAATAAGAAGCTATTCGATAAGATATAGATAGTAGGTAGGTTATTAGATTCAAAAATTTGAATTTTGTATCTTGATTGATTACAAATTTTACGAAATTTGGCTGGAAATAGGTACTATAACACACTTATTTTACACTTCAATATTGGTTATATCGTTGTAAAATATTTATGAGTTCACACATAAAGATAAAACCCAGGTTCACTAAAATATAGTATTTCGTTGCAGTACAATGGGAAGACCGCAAAACAAAGTTTTCTTGTTAAATATTTTTTTTTAAAAATGTGAATTTGAGAAAACCCAATTTATCACAAACAAATCTAGTTTACACACTAAATGATACATTATATTATTTACAAATTAATACTTATCCATTTTTGAAAAAATAATTTAAGCAAGTCAATTAAAAACACTATGTACTATAAACAAAAATGTTACTTAAGGCTATAATATTGTAATTATTATGCATTTAAAATATATACTTGTAAAAAATTAAATTAAATAAATATTCAACAGTGAAAGAGCTTGCATACATTTTTTTAGTGAAGTACCTATTATATATAGTTGAAGAAAATAATATATAACTATATGTAAGGAATCAATAGATGGGGCTCAAGCGATTTTGTGGTGGTGGTGGGGGTAGAAGTCATATTTTTCATTAAGTATGTTTAGTATGTTATTTGTGTGATTTTGTTTTTAACAATATATATTTTTTTAGAAATACGATCTGGTGCCTGCCCCGCCAAATCAAAAGGTATATGTTAGGTTGGGTTCAGTCCTACGTGGATCCGACAAATACGACTAAAAACAAAACAGTTTGTATTTCGTCGCATCGTATTGCGACGGAACAGCATGGTCAGAATAGGAATCGTCGGACTCGCCGGATTTACGTGGGACACGGCGTTAGGCCAAAATATTTGTCGGCTAAAATACTGTTGGCTGGATTATATTCGGACTTTTTATATTATATTATATGATATAATATATAATATTATAATATATGTATATGAAGTATAATATTATATTATAACACTATTATTGAAATAATTTAAATTTTAAAAGTTTTATTAGTTCACAAGGGAACAAATTTCCGACCACAAAAATTTGGCACCCCGGGCAGTTATTGTAACTAATGCCAACTCCTAAATGCGATAATGTACCTATGTTGAATAGAAGTAAATGCTAAATATTTTACTGGGCCATATGCCCATATGTGGGGATTTCAAAGCAAAACTCCACGGCTTTAACCTTGTTGGCGATGCAGCTTGCGCATGCGGTTTCCCCAGCGGAACTGCGGAGCATCTGCTAATGAATTGCCCACTTGCGGACCAGGAAAAAAATAAACTCAAACTCGCAGTGCGAGCGGCCGGTGCGGACTGGCCGTGTGAGTTAGAGTTCATGACGAGCTCCGAGGTCATGTTCCGGGCGGTTAGTGAATTCGCTAAGAATACACTGGCGCGCTGATGCAGGGTTAGCTCGGTAGTCGTAATTGGTGATATAAGTAAAATTCCAATTCGGGGCCCTGTACCACGTACAGCGGCCGAGGGAAAGAGGGATAACCCTTCTAGTCCACACGAGATACATAAACCCGAGTGAGAATTAATGGGGACGCAACGAGAATAAAAAGGTTGTAATCCATTAACCTTGCGACATACCGATGAATACGTTAAAATGGGAATGAGACGGAAGGATTGGGCAAAAGCAACCGCGGGCGGGTACCTCATACACGACCCGTCCGCGGACCTCCGATCACACGCCGGTTCATCCCCACTGAAAACTCGATCGAGAGCCCGCATCCAGGAGATGCGAGCGAACGGGTGCTAGTAGTGGGCAGAAACCAGTCGTCTACTATCAGTCACCGAAAAATCCGGGCAAAATTACCCGGTGCGGGAACGGCCACCCGCGCAGTAAACCGTACCGCACAGAAAGGCGGATCGCGGCGGAAAATCCTGCGGATTCCCGCCTCGATATCGTGCTTGTGGGAAATAGGTCGTTGTGAGTACCTGGGATACGGAGCCCGAAATCTCATTCCGCGGGTACCGGAGAGAGCCCTGCTTGAAAAACAGCACTCCGGTAGCTAGGGCACGCGCGTCCGGCAGCCGGGCGAGCGAGTGATTGTTCCCGCGCACGCGCGACTGCCGCGCGTCCGTGGCTTATGTGGATGGAACCGCGGAGGTTGTGGAAGTAGCGCTTTCAGTAGAAGGGGGTTTGCTTGAGTAGATTAAAAACCTGCCGCCGCTGGCGCATTCGGCGATACCCATAATATGCCTTGAATTAGGCATGCTCTGGGCCGTCTGCCTGGCGCTCGGGCGCCCAGATGCACCCCTTAGCGAGGGATGACGATTGCGCCGTTAAGGCGCGGACGAGTCGGGCGCGGTAAAGATGGCTAAAGGTTTGAGAGACCGCCGTGTACTGGCGTCGCTTTCCCCCGTCACACAGCCGGTTAATCAATGCCCATATGTGTACTTATACACTTACTCACTCATACATTACTTAGTTACAATATACATATACTTTACCATAGGTGTGTCCACGAGCCCGGATTCAGACATTTTGAGGCCTATGTACGAAAAAAACAATAATAGATAATGTATATATAAGTATATATATATATATATATATATATATATATAAGGTACCTGTTATAATAAATATATAGGTATATTGACATTATGTATAACATAATGAATAATGTATCACCTTATTTATAAATTATAATTTACAAGCTTTTTTCCACACTAAATAATCATACATTTTTTTTAGGTGATTTACGCAGTGTAATAGCCTATAACGAAAAAAGTAATGGACAAATCTGAGGCCCCTAAATAAATTCATATCATATTTCTATGTATAAATATTCCTATTGTTACTCGCAATTGTCACTAAAAACCGTATCGCTATACTCGAGCGCGTACAGGGCGCCGCCGGTAAACAGGCCGTGCTCGCGCCCCGTCCTAAGGACCGACCGTCTGCGCCGTCGAAATGGTCACGTAAAATGGATCGACCATCACCGACGTCATTAGTCTCAGCTGTGCAAGTACCGGCGCCGTCGCCGCACACAGTGTCGTTTCAATACTGCAACAAGTCACACGCGCTCGATATGTGCCGTAAATTTAGTTCACTACCCGCGGATGAACGCACGAAATGGGCGCGTGCTCAAAGCATTTGTTTCTCGTGTCTCAGTCCTGGTCATTGGTCACCTAGTTGTAAGGCGCCCGCCAAATGTGCAATTTGTTCACGCCGTCATCATAGTTTGTTGCATCCGACTTTTACGGACGTTGTGCCGTCATCGGAGGCGGAGTCAGCTGCCATCCCCACGTCGCTATTATCCGGGCTCGGGTCGCCGTCCGTCGTGCTTGGCACGGCGTTGGTACATATACGTAATCGTTCTGGGAGTTTCCAAGTGGCCCGCGCGTTGATCGACTCGGCGTCACAAATAAACGCGATTTCACTGCCATGCGCGAAACGGCTAGGTCTCCGTTGGTCAACTTGGTCGGCACCAATTTCGGGTTTAGCCGGCGTGCCGGTAGTCACGGTACAAGGACGAGTCGATTGTCATGTCGTGCCGCGCTAGTTTTAGCGATCCAGTTTTAGCGTTCGAGTCATGGGTTCTACCGTCTATAACCGGTGACCTCCCGCGGCATTCGTTGGAACCGTCTGTACGGGATAAGTTTTCGCACTTGGCGTTGGCGGACCCGGATTTCCATATCGCCGCGCCGGTTGATCTATTATTAGGCGCAGACCTGTTTTCATCAATTGTTGACGGGCGTCAGGTTGTTGTGGATAAGTCGTTGCCGGCCGCTTTCAGCTCATGTTTCGGGTGGATCCTTATTGGGTCAGTGTCGCCATCTGATATATCGATCCCGCAGCCACCAGCCGTGTCTCTACTCACGTCCGTGGAGCAATTAATCGACCGGTTTTGGCACATCGAAGAGCCCGACGTAGCCCCGTTGAAGTTTACCGACGCCGGCAAATGCGAAGCCGTATTCCGTGATAATGTTGTCCGTGACGAGTCCGGCCGTTTTTCGGTTCCATTGCCGTTTCGTGTGCCGTTGCATGATAATCTATTTCCTGGGTCTCGAGCGGTCGCAGCCAAACGGTTAGATCATCTCGAGCGGAAGCTAAGCTCGAACGATCGAATGCGCACCAAGTATAACGATTTTATGTCGGAATATTTGTCACTCGGACACATGTCAGTGGCGTCCACTCCTGGCCGGTATTTTATTCCGCATCATGCCGTGTGTGGCGCCGATGAAAAATTCCGCGTAGTGTTCGACGCGTCCGCTTCGGTCGCTGATGGCTCGTCATTAAACACATCGTTATTTCCGGGTCCAAAGCTACAACAGGACATCGTAGATGTGCTCACACGGTTTCGTTTGTTCCGTCACGCATTTACCACCGATATTTGTAAAATGTACCGACAAATTACGGTCCTTCCACAATACCGTGCGTATCAGCATATTCTATGGCGATCGTCCCCGCACCTGGAGCTCGTCGAATACGAGCTAAATACCGTGACGTATGGCGTAAATTGTGCGCCGTTTCTGGCGCTACGAGTTTTGCAAGAGGTCGCTGAGGTCGACTGCCACGGTTCCGCCCGCGTATGCGACGCGTTGCGTCACCAGACGTATGTGGACGACATTTGTTACGGCGCTGACACTGTGGACGACGCGCTCAGTATTCAAGTAGAGTTAACGGCTGTTCTTAACGGCGCGGGTTTTGAACTGCGAAAATGGGCGAGCAATACCGCCGCAGTCGTGCATGCTGTTCCGGAAGAATTCCGGGTGATTAAATCTACAACGTTTGCCGGTGATGAGGGTGGTGACACGAAGGTACTAGGATTGTCTTGGCATACCGGTGGCGATTATTTCGGATGCGAAGCTCACCTCGACTCAGCCACGGTATTTACCAAACGTGGTATATTGTCACTTACCGCACGTTTCTTCGATCCGTTAGGTTTATTCGCGCCGACAATTTTCCTTGCCAAGCACATTATGCAACGCACCTGGCAGTCCAATTGTACGTGGGATCAACGGTTGCCTACCGAGATTCACTCAGATTGGTCGCGGTTCGTCGACGAATTGCCCGCGCTAGCCTCCGTGCATGTTCCGCGTTATTTCAATACAACCGCTAGAGCTCCGTGTTCGTTGTATGGATTTTGCGACGCGTCGCAACGCGGCTATGCCGCGGTAGTGTTTTTGCGCATCCATGATGCCCCTCGCGCGACGTCGGTTATGTTGGTCGGTTCCAAGACCAAGCTAGCGCCGCTTAAACCGTTATCGATTCCGAGGCTCGAGCTGAATGCCGCAGTGTTATTGTCGCGCTGGATGAGCCGAATATCTTTATTATTAAATACGCACATCGATATCGTTGACATGTGGGCCTGGACGGATTCGTCGATTGTATTGTCATGGTTAACTGTGCCCCATGACACATTCAAGCAATATGTATCAAACCGTGTTCACCAGGTACGGACGTTGTTGCCGAGTTGTCAATGGCGCCACGTCAGTTCGGAGCTGAACCCGGCGGACTGTGCGTCCCGTGGGTTGATGCCGTCTGAGTTGCCGCACCATCAGTTATATTGGCAGGGTCCCGCCTTTCTCCGTGACCCTCCGCAGGAATGGGGGAGTGACATCGCGCGTTTGCCGGTTGCGGAACTGCCCGAGGTCAGATCTGTGTCACCTGCAGTTTGTTTAGCTGCCCCCAAGGTTGAATGGTTCACGCGTTTCTCGTCCTACGACGCACTCATCCGCGTGGTCGCGCGTGTGCGCCGGTTTATCGATATTTGTCGCTGACGTCCAGTCGTGAGATCGAATGCGCTTACTCGAGCCGAGCTCGACGGTGCAACTCTCGCGGTAATCGCTGCGTCTCAACGTGTCACATTTCCGACATTAGTCAGCGACCTGCAAAATTTACACCGTTTAGCATCCAAGCCGTTGACACGGCTGTGCCCCTTTGTCGATTCCGAAGGTATAATCCGCGTCGGTGGACGCTTACGTCATTCAGAGTTGCCGTACGATTGTCGACATCCGATTTTGTTGGCAAAAGGGTCGTACCTCGCGCTGCTGGTATGTCGTCACTGGCACAAAATCACTGGTCACTCGGGACCACGGGTAATGACCTCCTTGATACATCGGCAATATTGGATTGTGTCGCTGCGCTCCGTTATCCATAATGTCATTAGTCAATGCACCCGGTGCGTGCGTCTCCGTGCGTCCGTCCCCACGCCGGTCATGGCGGATCTACCAGAGTCGCGGGTGTTGCAATGTCGTCCGCTTTCTTGCGTCGGTGTTGACTACGCCGGGCCTATACCTATGCGTGACAATAAATTACGAAAATCTAGGACGTACAAAGCGTATATAGCCGTATTCGTGTGTATGAGCGTCAAGGCCGTCCATTTGGAATTAGTATCAGATTTGTCCACTCCGGCCTTCCTCGCCGCCTTCGACCGGTTCGTCGCTCGGCGCGGCCTGCCTACGACGGTCTATTCCGACTGTGGAACAAATTTTGTTGGTGCTGACAGACAATTGCGTCAGCTGGTTAATAGCCCCGCAGCACAATCTATTATTACGTCGGGGAAGTCCTACTGCGACTGGAAGTTTAATCCCCCCAGTGCACCACATTTTGGTGGGTTGTGGGAGGCAGCAGTACGCTCGTGTAAACGACTGCTCGTACGAATCATGGGTGCGCACGCGTTCACGTACGAAGAATTTACAACCGTATTGTGTCGAGTTGAAGCCGTGCTGAACTCACGCCCCCTCACTCCAGCATCGACCGACCCTCACGACCTCGACTG